TTGACATATGAACTGCATTTTGAGTTAAGAGCTAGCAACAGAGGGAGCAGACTGTGTGCTTCATGCCTCCATGCCTCGTGCTCTTGTCCGCTTTGAGAAATTGCTGTCCGCTTTGCTCTTGCCCACTTCGAGGAACTTTGGGTTAGTTGAGTTTGTGTGCTTTTTATTCCTGGCATGTTTGGCTTCATGAAGAGGGAGAGAGAGAGAGAGAGCAAGAGAGCGAGGGAGGTTGGAATGAGTACAATATGACGAAAATGATGCTTCTGTCTCTTCACTTTGTGCTTTGTGCAACCTTGCCACAACTTTGCGCTTCTACCATTTTAAAGTTGATCTTTCTTATTGTTCCATGGGAAAGTGCATTTATCAGTTATTTGTTATTCATAAAGTAAATTTTCTTGATTAAAAACATGTAGCAAAAATGATGTTTGTCATGCAATGCATATTTTTAATTTAAGAGTACTACTGTTAATGACATATGGAGACATAATGACTGTGATCCTGCAGCCAGAAGCATGAAGACAATGTCTTCCAGTACCTCCTGTACTTCCTCAAGAGGTCCTGGAGATTATGGTTTTTTTTATGTGTCCATTTGCAGAAGCAGAGCAAGCTACAATTTAGTCTCCCTTCATCCTCCTCAATCCAATTTTCCATAAGAAGGTAGGTTGCATTCACAAAGAGATGTATAGGAAGCAGAGATAGGCTTTGGGTTCTGTCAGTGTGCTTCTGGATCTCAACTAGTATATATTAACATATTTACTCAAATCTAACACTCAAATTTTTTTGGTTAAATTACATAGCTGAAATTGAGGTATGCATTAAATTCAATGGCATTGGAATTGCACACCTAAATCCACCCGCACTGTTGGGCAAGAGATCCTAGCGAGGGACAAAGGAGGGAGAGGGAGAGGCTGGGGCGGCCATGAAAAGGCTGGTGGGAAGTTGGTGGTTGTCATGTAAAGGCTGGTGAGAAGGCCTGACAGAGGGACACAGTTTCCCACCAGCCTTTTCGTGGTCGCTACCTTGCATTACATTACATTCTACAGCAATGCACACCTTCAAAGTTAACAGTTCATTATACTCAAGTAAATACAGTAATAGCAGGAGTGGTGCTATATTTGAGTAGCTGGTGGATATCACTGGTCCCTTCCACTAACAAGACTCAGAGGCTAGCTTCCAAATTCTCTTTCAATTCAGGTAGCAAAATGTCATGAACAGCCCCTGTTTCTAGCATCATTCTTGGAGGAGAGCACTTCTTCCTGTCCTTTTCAGCAACAATGTGCTGGCGTATCATCACTTATAACTGCTAAGTATTTGATCTTCTATTTTTTTAGTATTTGCAATATTTGCATTTATTTTATTTGTCGTGTCAGGGCAGCCAGTAAATTATATTACATTTCTAACAGAACAAGCAAACAGACAGACAAAATACAACATTTGTGAGTTTGGTAGTTGATTAAATATCCTTTGACCAGTATCTGGCCACTTGGAGTGCTTCTGGTGTTGCTGCAAGAAGGTCCTCCATTGTGCATGTGGCAGGGCTCAGGTTGCATTGCAGCAGGTGGTCAGTGGTTTGCTCCTCTCCACACTCACATGTCGTGGATTCCACTTTGTAGCCCCATTTCTTGAAGGTTGGCTCTGCATCTTGTGGTGCCAGAGCGCAGTCTGTTCAGCGCCTTCCAAGTCGCCCAGTCTTCTGTGTGCCCAGGGGGGAGTCTCTCATTTGGTATCAGCCATTGATTGAGGTTATGGGTTTGAGCCTGCCACTTTTGGACTCTCGCTTGCTGGGGTGTTCCAGCGAGTGTCTCTGTAGATCTTAGAAAATTATTTCTTGATTTAAGTCATTGACGTGCTGGCTGATACCCAAACAGGGGATGAGCTGGAGATGTCACTGCCTTGGTCCTTTCACTATTGGCTGCTACTTCCCGGCGGATGTCAGGTGATGCAATACCAGCTAAGCAGTGTAATTTCTCCAGTGGTGTAGGGCACAGACACCCCGTGATAATGCGGCATGTCTCATTAAGAGCCACATCCACTGTTTTAGTGTGGTGAGATGTGTTCCACACTGGGCATGCGTACTCAGCAGCAGAGTAGCACCGCGCAAGGGCAGATGTCTATTTGCATTAATATTTGCATTAGACCAATTAATATTTGCATTAGACCAATACAGAAATAAAACAAACCACAACAACAATGTACTTTTAAGTTGCATGCCAACTTACGAATTTCATATGATTTTTTGCAGGCAGTGTGGTTTTGTCAGTTTCCTCCTCTGAAATATAGCCGACAACATAGGTGTTCATTTATGGTCTCCCACCCAAGTACTAACCTTCCTTTACCCCCTTTGAAAAGCACACCTGAGAGTGTGTTTCATGCAATTTGTCTCTTTCATGTTTTTTTTTTAATTCAAACAAGCATCTAACATGAAAGCCAAAGAGAAAAGAACAGCATAATGCAATTAGTTCCTGTGATGTCTGCAGTCTTTTTATGAAGCCCATCTCTTTCCAGTGGCCAGTGAACATCACAGATAATAATGAAATATAAAAAGGATGTTCCTGTTTCCCTGTCCATAGCCACACATACACAATTATCCTTTTAAATATATTAAATAATTTAAGCCTCCTGACTATGAAAGGCAGTAATTTGTAGAATAAGGACTAAAAATGGGCAATAATTCTAAACTAGCAATTTTTAAAATAGCAAAGATAATGTAACATTTAGGTCTTTTGGAGGGTGGGGTTGTTTTAAAATTATGTTGAAAAGCATCATTATTAAATGGATTATTCCTTCTCCAGGTTGTGTTGTCTGTATTGCACTCCACCATTACTGGTATTGGGATTTTGATCTAATATAACTCTACCTTCTTTCTGGTTGAAAATGCAATGCCTTTGGAGTCCAGTTTGATTCTGATATGCTTGATGTATGCATTTAAACTTACTGCACCATTAAGACACGGGATTTTTGAGAATGTTCTGTGCAAAGACATGCCTGTAATAAGGAGGAGGAGAGTAGTATTTTGTGAACGGAGAACAGGCTTGTCTCTTGTTTTGTCAGTTTGGCAAATATGACTGCTTTCCTCAAGAGGCATCCCAAACTGGATCAGGAAACATACTTTTAAAACAGTTGCAACAGGTCTGGATTGGCATATTTAGCAACTTCATCCATGGATTGCAAATACCATGTGTAACAAGTGTGATTCTATAAGTTTGAAAGCTATCATCACCTGTATGAGCAGAAACAATGAGTACAGACATCTCTCACTTAACTGTGCCTGAAATAGCTCCTTCTGTTAAGGGGACACTACCTTGTATTGTCAATGTTGGGAAGCTCTATTTGTGAAAATACCTTGCTCCCTCTCTCTCCATAAATCCGTAAATATCGGGGTAGTTTGATCTCATTGTGTGAGATGGGTCAGAAAGGGGAGGGAGATTTCCCAGAGAATATGTCTTCTGTTGTTGTTGTTATACTCTACGCTATATTTAAAAAATCTCAGAATGGCTTAGATCAAGTTGAACAGCTCAAAACTGTGAAATAATTTCAATACGCTAACACATATAAAACATCTGAATGAGTTAAAAATGCATTTGTTTTCCAAACCCCTGTGTTTAGAGACTGTGACAGCCAGCCATTTTTAATAGGGGCTTACTGTGAAAGTCTATGTGCCTCTGTCTCTCTGCAGAGAGGTTTATGCTGGAAACCATTATTAAAAATGGCCACTGCCAGTCCGCTCTATCACAAGCATCCAAAAGAGCAGCCACACAGCATATTTCAGGCTCCTCCATGTTGAGATAAATGCCACTGGGGAGAAAGGCAACAGTGCCTTTCTCTTTCCATTTTGGGCTAAAGAGGTAATGATATCTGAGTTCTACTTGCTTCTGACTCTTGTTACAGACTTCACTCTTGGACCCTATTCCAGGTTTGATTTGTGTATAAGTCACAAATCTTACAAAATGGGGAGGGGGGCAATGTTTTTGTCAAAAAACAATCAACTTCTTCAAAGTTTGTATGGTAGCTCTACTAAAGGAGTTCATTTCTTTCCCACTTACAAATCTGTAAGCATCTTCCGTTTTCCTCCTCAGGAAGCTCAATGGTTATCTTGTTCAGCATTTAGTTTTGTGGGATGCTTTATATGGAGCTGTCTTTCTGATTTTCCCCCCACTTCATGATTAGTGAGCCTTGCCTTTTTTCAGCGCTGTACAGTTGTTTCAACTGCCTGAAACATTGCCAGCTTAGTCTCTTTTACAGACGACTCTCACAGGTTACTATGTGTTGATTCTTTTTTTAAATTGTTGAACAATAAATACTAATACTTTCTTTCAGAGCATTTTACTCCAGTTCAGTTTTAAAGAAAATGGGCTTGGCATTTTTGGTTTGTTTGCTTGTTTAATTTTTTAGAAATACAATCAAGAAGGAATTATCCCAGCATGAAGGTATAATCATGCCCAAAAATATAATTAATGTGCAGTGGTTTTAGAAATAAAGTCTGATAACTGCATTAAATTGTGCCAGCAAACAGTTATGATATGAGTTGCTCTAACATGTGCCAAACCAATAGCACGAATAGTCCACTCACATTGTAAAAATTGTATAGCCACGGAGGCATCTACACTTTATAATTAATGCAGTTTGATACTTTTTTCGCTGCCATAGCTCACTGCTGGGAATACTCTTTGATAGAAAAGGCTAAAAAGTACAAATCTTAAGATTCCACATCATTCAGCCATGGCAATTAAAGTGGTGTCGAACTTCATTATTTTTACAGTGTGGATTCATCCCACATTATATACTAATATTTAAAGAAAAAAATTATGCTTGTTGTGTTAACTATAATCATGATCAATTTTAATAAAATAAAAAAGTACAATTAGTTTGCCTTGGTAATGTAAGTATCAATAAATGTAATATGAATTTTCTAACAGCTGCTACGGAAACGTATAAAATGCCTGCGGGGCTCCATGTATATTAGTCTAAATTGGATATGCTTTTGTCTCATTCTCTGGCAGACGCCTTGCATCTCCAAGACAGAGAGTCAGCCGCAAGGACTAGCAACCAGTGTAAGGTGGGGACAGACGCCCATCAACCAGTCTACGCCCTGGGACACAGATGAGCCACCACCTAAACAGATGAGGGAGACTGAAAACCCAGGTATGCTCTCAGCCTTGTTTGTAATTCTGCTGGGGGAAAATGTTCAAAGCAAATTCAACATGCTGTCTCCAATTACCCTTCTGAATAAGACTTTATCCTGAGTCCTTTTGTTAAATGCTATCGCTGGCTTTTCCTTTCTAGCTTTAAAGGCCTCCCTTCAGGTTACTCTTGTGTCACGGCTACTTTAAATGTATTAAGATGCCTGCAAGTTCATTAAAGCATTTTCTCCCCCACCAGCCATCTCTGTCTTTGCCAGGGTTAAAACAAAACACACACACAACCCATTGCATAATACTTCAAGGCCTCTTTTTATGTCCAGAGCCACCTGAAATGATTCCCAGCTTCCAGACACATATCATACATTGTGCAGCTGTGCCAGCCGCCTAATTACAATCTCTTTGTAGTGGCTGGAACACGGTTATTATACGCACAGAGTGTTTGTCAGGGAGCCATGAAAACATGTTGGGGAAAGAGGTTAATTTTCTTGGAAGCATATACTTAAGCCGCACAAAGCTGAAAATGTGTGAAATTGTAAACATTCTGCATCACTGGTTGATCAGTATTTCTAACATTTGTGCTTTCCTGCCATATTGTAGCACCTGAAGCCACTTACCAGTCTGGAATAATTCCAAATTTTTCACCTTTTGTGATGTAAAAAGTGAGGGACTTGATAGAGTCATTGGTGGGTGGCAAGTAGGGAATTTAGATTGTATGGAGGATGACTAAAATGATCAAAGGTCTGGAGACCATGCTCTATGAGGAGCGGCCTAAAGAGCTGGGTATGTTTAGCCTGCAGAAGAGAAGGTTGAGAAACAATATGATAGCCATGTATAAATATGTGAAAGGATGTCATAAGGAAGAGGAAGCAGGCTTGTTTTCTGCTGCCCTGGAGTAGGACTTGGACCGATGGGTTCAAATTACAGGAAAGGAGATTCCAATTAAACATTAGGAAGAACTTCTGACTGTAAGAACTGCTCAACAGTGGAACTCTCTGCCTTGGAGTGTGGTGGAAACTCCTTCTTTGGAGGTTTTTAAACAGAGGCTGGATGGCCATCTGTCAGCGGTGCTTCGATTGTGCTTTTCCTGCATGGCAGGGGGCTGGACTAGATGGCCCATGTGGTCTCCTCCAACCCTATGATTCTATGATTCTCTCTCTTTTGGAAGAATTGTTCTTATTGCTAGCTTTCCTTTTTCCAGGTACAGCTCCATGGGTTACAACAGTTGCAGCAGGTAGCCAGCCAACTCTTATAACTCATTCTTATGGGATGACTCAACCTCCGACCTTCAGCCCAGCAGTGAACGTCCAAGCCCCTGTCATTGGAGTTACACCCTCACTCCCTCCGCATGTTACCCCCCAGCTTCCTTTAATGCCAGCTCATTACCGGCTTCAGCAGCAGCCTTCACAGCCGCTGAGTAACATAGTTGTGAACCTGCAAAGCCAGCCTTTGTACACTAACAGCCAGCCCATTGCTATGTCTTCTATGACTGGGGTTGGCCAGGTGACGCACCCAGGCCACAGTACGGTAGGGAATGGTCACATGACTTGCCCTATTCTGCCTCCGCCACCGCCAGCTTTGCCTTCGGCCGCCCTACCTAATAGTGTTCCAGCTACCAATGGGCAGGCTGCTCCTCAGCTTCCTCCTAACCAGATGGGGAGCCCGGACAACACAAATGGGGTGCAGATGCTGCGGACTGTTGGTGTGGGGAAGTACGAGTTCACAGACCCTTGGCATCCAAAAGGTAGGTCAGCCCAGAACCCTTCATGCTTTTGATACTTGGCGTTTGGGATGATGCATACTTAGAAACTTAGAAATATGTGTGTGCCTGTGATGAACTGTGTAACATTTAACTTCTACCACCTACCTGTTTTAGAGGTGCTCTCGCCAATTAAAGTACCTGTAGTGTTGACTTTCCTGAGTGTTGGCACTCCAGCATCAATTTCCTGTCTTGCATTTTGTGGTAGGTTTTCATGAATTAAAGATGACAAACTGGTTCTTCTGAGAAGACGGGGGAACCTGTGTGCTTATTTGCGTCCTGAGTGACACTTTCCTTCAGGAAAAAAAAACCCACCAGAGATAGACATCTCAAAGCATATGAGGCAGCTGTCTCTCTGTCCTTTAGATTTGTTTTTTCTTCTCCTGAGGAACACTTACTTGTAAGACCAGGGCTTTTTTGTTTAAATTTTGTTTTCTGAGTTTCATTATTTGATATACTTGAGGATATCTCCCCCCCCCCCCCCCCCCCAGTGTTTAAGGAAGAACTGGGCTGATATTTCAGTCACTTCTGGCAATAGATTGAATTAGGACCTTAACACATTGGGATATATTCCATTTATATCAGTATGCATCCCATATATTTTTAGGACTGGATGTATGCTGTATTCAGAAGGGATTCATACTGACCACATCACACCCAATTACGTTTTTGAAAGTACTGCACTATGACTCACCACACCATCACAGGATGGTTGGAGCCTCCCTATCCATTGGAATGCCTCCTATGTCACTTTTTTATTTTTCCCCCCAATGTTGCTCAGTGACATAGCCTATAATTCTTGAACTACCATTCTCGTGAGATATTAGCTAATGAAATGCATACTAATTTTCCGATCACACATAAAAATAGTGCCTCTGAACTGCATTAAATAAAAACAGGATTAGAATCTTGTGTAAATTTCCTGTGTTTCTGCAATGTTTTGGAGACGGATTTCAATGGATTACTGACAAAATGAGACAAACATCATGTGAAAGGATCCATTCCGAGTCTCAAAAACAGAGTATATCTCAATGTGATAATGTCCTTAGTCAGCTTCTAAAGTTGAGGGGTACAAAGTGCAACTTTCCACATGCTGTGACAGCATAGCAAAGATGGGGAGTGCTGGTAGTTTCGGTCCAACAGGTTTTGGAGAGCTACTCTTTGCTTTAAAGGTTCTTCCACACAGAGAGCACTTGTGTTGTCCACCTGCAACCTGGACTTCAAGAGAATCCTAGCACAGCAGCTGGCAGAATAATGTGATTGTAGAAATCTGGCCGTATGTGATACTTGTTCAGATCCATTTTGGGAAATTAGCAGAGCGATGAAGTGAAAGATAGGTAAACACTAAGTGTACAAAGGGAATGTACATAACCTATTTTCTCTATGTGCCTCCAGTTCACTTTGCACCATATCGACTGTACCGTTCATCCATGCCAAGTTCTCAAATTTGTCCCAAGGAGATATGTTGCTGGTGAGGAACACGGTATAATGGGAAGATGCTGTTTTCTTAGAAAAATAGAATAGCTGTCTATTACTTTAGAGATAGCTACAAGTCATAACAGGTTGAGATTTCTCCCTGGAACGTAACAAACAAACATTTTGACTCACCTTGTTTCTATGACACTATTACAGATCTTTAATTGCATTACAACTCTTAGAGATTTATACTTGGCATTCAGCTTTGTACCAGTCATTGTAACAATATTTCAACTTAATCTCTGAGTTCTGCTTTATTTTTTTCAAATTAGTTTGTCCCTTGTGGGGAAAAAGAGTCTTTACCATTCTGAAACTAAAATAATGTGAAGCTTAAGAAAAACTATTATACCACCATAAAAGGTCACAGAGGTTCCAATGAGTATGTAAACCAATTTGCATATGCAAAAAAGGTCCAGGGTTATGGTATACAGTAGAGTTTCACTTATCCAACCTTTGCTCATCCAATGTTCTGTATTATCCAACACAGTCTGCCTCCCTCATGGATCCTCAGCTGTTTCAATACATTGCGATGTTTTGGTGCTAAATTCATAAATACAGTAATTACTACATAACGTTACTGTTATTGAACTGCTTTTTCTGTCGATTTGTTGTAAAATATGTTTTGGTGCTTAATTTGTAAAATCATAACATAATTTGATGTTTAATAGGCTTTTCCTTAATCCCTCCTTATTATCCAACATTTTCACTTTTCCATCATTCTGCTGGCCTGTTTATGTTGGATAAGCGAGACTCTACTGTACTAAAACCTCTTGTGTGCCTTGGTGTTAAAGAACTTCCTTCACATTAAATACTTTTATTTTTGATATGAAGAGATCCATACCGAATGCCCTGTTGTATGAGCAATTGCTTCAACGTATTGATTTCTGAACCAAAGAACTTTCACAGTTTTTCAGCGTTTGCGTTGAATGAACACGAGATGTCACTGGAGGCTGTTGGCTTGCCATATATGTCTACAATGGTCAAATAAGTGTTTCCCAATGAAATCAAGGTTGGCAAGTAGCTTTTCTCCTGTAAAAATGTTAAAGCTTAGGCGTCCAAATTGATTTTATATATTTCAAGTTGAGGAGATGTTTTCACATATTGGATCCATTGTGACCACGTCTTTGAGACAAACTTGAATACACCCCAGTGTCCTATGTTCTCAACTTGTATCAGATACAAGCCAAACCATGATTGCCTGAGGTTCCCTAGTTTTACTTCTATGTCAATTTTCTTTCTTTTTTCTTCCAAAGGTAGATTTTTCTTGTATGATTATATGATGCTCATAAAAGCATTATTTCAGTATTATTCTCCTAATGAAGAAATCTGAAATATTCCAGTCTAGACATTGTATAAAAGGGGAAATCCATTCCTAGAATGCATGCATCTCGTGTACAGAAGGAAAGCAGATATTAGCTTTGACTGATGACAGGTGTCAATGTATTAACTTTACAATTTTTCATAAATTGTAGAGCAGGCTGCTCTTATCTAGTGAATTAGATTTTACTAGCTTCTCTATTTACAGTCATCAGCATCTGATTTATTCCTTCCCATTTAAGAGAAACAGTGGAGCATCTAGATATAGAAGACAGATGAATAGCAAAGCTCAATGTCTGTAGCTTTGGAAATATTTTTTTTTGCTCCTGATTCATCATAATCTCTACTTTAAAGCTCTTGTCAGACCTAATGATAAAACATCAGATACAGAATCACTTTAAAAATCTTCAATTCAATGACTATTTATTGATTGAGTTACAGTATTTGTATTCCACCCTTCTCACCCCGAAGGAGACTCAGAGCAGATCACAGAACACATATACAGCAAACATTCAATGCCGTTATACACTGATAACGGTACATATAGGCGTTCCCATCTCCGGCATCTTGGAGGCTGTGCTTGGTTCCGGCCACAGGAGGGTGGGGGTGGGGGAGGGAGTGCTGTTGTTCCATCTTCCCTGTCAAAGTGCTTTATTTGTAAACTTCCCCCTTGATCAAATTGCCAGTATTTTCCTGGCGTTTCCTTCTGGGTGTTTAAATACCTCCCCGCTTTAAAGTGGTACCTATTTATCTACTCACATTTGTTTTTGAACTGCTAGGTAGGCAGAATTATTTATTTTTATTTATTTATTTCATTTACTTATACCCCGCCCTTCTCACCCCGGGGGGGACTCAGGGCGGCTTACAGTGGGGGCACAATTAGATGCCCAAGGCAATTCACAAGCAGTACAAATACAAACAATTCAACAATTAATTAAAAACATCAGTACATAATAAAATCATAAAACAATCTCATGCTCAGGGTTCAGAGTCCATATATCCATTCCATTCCATTTGTCCTTGTCTATCATCAGATCCTTCAGTTAACTGTCAGAATGACCAAAGGCTTGATCCCAGATCCAGGTTTTTTTCCTAAACGCCAAGAGGGAAGATGACGATCTAATCTCCCCGGGGAGTGAGTTCCACAGGTGGGGGGCCACCACTGAGAAGGCCCTGCTCCTCGTCCCCGCCAGCCTCACTTGTGACAGTGGCGGAGTCGAGAGCAGGGCCTCCCCAGAAGATCTTAAGCTTCGAGATGGGACGTAGAGGGAGATCCGTTCGGACAAATACACTGGGCCGGAACCGTATAGGGTTTTGTAGGTCAAAACCAGCACTTTGAATTGTGCTCGGAATTGGATCGGCAGCCAGTGGAGCTGGCGCAACAGGGGGGTTGTATGCTCCCTGTACGTCGCTCCGGTGAGCAATCTGGCTGCTTCTTGCTGAACTAGCTGTAGTTTCCGAGCAGTCTTCAAAGGCAACCCCACGTAGAGTGCGTTGCAGTAATCCAACCGGGATGTGACAAGAGCGTGGACCAGCGTGGCCAGATCTGGCTTCTCAAGGTACGGGCGCAGCTGGCGCACAAGTTTTAATTGTGCGAAAGCTCTCCCGGCGACGGGAACCTGGGGTTCCAGGCTCAGCGATGAGTCCAGGATCACTCCCAAGCTGCGAACCTGCGTCTTCAGGGGGAGTGTAACCCCGTCTAACACAGGCTGTAACCCTATACCCTGTTCGGCCTTACGACTGACCAGTAGGACCTCTGTCTTGTCTGGATTCAATTTCAATTTGTTAGCTCTCATCCAGTCCGATACAGCAGCTAAACACCGGTTCAAGGTCTGGACAGCCTCCTTGGTGACAGGTGGAAAGGAGTGACAGATTTGGACATCATCTGCGTAGAGATAACATCTCATTCCGAAACTCCGAATGATCTCCCCCAGCGGCTTCATGTAGATGTTAAATAACATCGGGACAGAATTGAACCCTGTGGGACTCCACACAACAACGGTTGTGGGGCCGAACAGGTGTCACCCAGTAACACCTTCTGGGTCCGTCCCTCAAGGAAGGATCGGAGCCACCGCAGAGCAGTGCCCCCGAGCCCCATATCCATGAGGCGACCCAGAAGGATACCGTGATCGACGGTATCGAAGGCCGCTGAGAGGTCCAGCAGAACTAACAGGGACACACTCCCCCTGTCC